ATACAAAGCACATTCAAGCAAAAAAAAGAGACATTTCAAACATCAGATAAAGTTGTCTATGGAGCAACTGGATACAGCCCAATGTGCGCCAGGGAGAGGGTCACATAGTTGTGGTCAAGTCAAGAGCTTAACAAAATATGTAAATATATTTTGTCAAGCTCTTGACCAACTAGCTCAGGGGGGTCATGACCCCCATTACACCCTCCCCTAGATCCGCCAATGTTGTCGGTGGAGGAGACGCAAGGAACATGTATGTTCTACTTTTTTGTTTTCTTTGTCTACAGTATATTTAATTTGGTTGTGAACTTTGAACATGCAATTAGTGTACTTTTCCAATAAATAAATTAAGAAATAAACACTACCTGGCAGTGTTTAATTACTAGGTTAGGTATCACCAACATAAAAGGGCTGCTGGGGTTCTTTGGGGATGTAATGGCAGATCAGGTCATCTATATGAGAGGAATAAAAGCGGCTACACTTTAGTTAATTATTTTGTCATATTTGGTTTTTACCCGTGTATGTGCAGGAGCGGCAGTTCGGGCGGCGCGGGCGAGTGGCTGACGTTCTCGGAGGCGGAGGCGCAGCAGCTGGGCGCGGGCGAGCGCGGCGACTACTACTGGCTGCTGGGCGCGCTCACCTTCACCTTCAGCGACAACGCCGTCTACAAAGCCTGCCCCCAGGACCAGTGCAACAAGAAACTCCTCGACCAGGAGAATGGACTCTACCGCTGCGAGAAGTGCAACAGAGATTATCCCAACTACAAGTACCGTCTGCTGCTCGGAGTAAGTTTATGCTTATAATCGGGCTTCTTTCCTACCTTCTGGGGAGAAGACAGGGTATTTTAGGTTTACAGTTGGACAGTCGCGTGGATAGGTATGGAGTGTATGGACTCATTGGCACCAGATCAGCTAAATGCCAATCCAGATTAAAGCTTACTGTCTAGAGTACACTGTCCCAGGTGGGAAATTATTGTACATACATACACAATTTTCAATTTTTTATTTGCTAAATTATTTATATTCTATTAAATTAAACACAAGGCCCAGACAGCAGGCTTCCGTAACTTTCTTTTACATATTTTTATGCTTTACAGTGACAAAATTCAGTTTTACATTTTCAAGTGAAAGTGAAGCATAGCTTAAGCTCTTCGCTTTTAAGACTTGCAAGATGTTTTACGTCACTATATAATTATTATTTTTTTACTGTCAGACTAGCGTTGGAGCTTGGGGCCCTCAATTTCACAGGACCCTGTAGCATTTGCTCCTCTTGCTATATAGCCTTGTCTACTATTGCTATAGCTAAAGCTATTTGTTATTTTTTAGTTTGCTGGCATAATATTAAAAATAAAATAAAACGTAGGCGAACGTGTCTGACCCGACTGGCGACCAGCGCGTGACCGCGTTCAACGAGGCGGCTGAGAGCATGCTGGGGAGGAGCGCCGCCGACATCGGACAGATGTACGACTACGACAAGGCCGCCTACAGCCAGTTATTTGAACAAGTCAAGTTTAAAACGTTCCTCTTCAAGTTCCGCACCAAAATGGAGACATACAGTGTAAGTGGTGTCAGCCTGCCTTTTCCCTACCAATGGACTACTTTTTATCAATCCATCGTATTCATTTACTCAGGGCCTGTCCATTCAGATTGTAAATTGTCTGATAAAAATCCAATGTGTGAAACGTGAACGAAATATCGGATTTTGTTCCCTTATCTGACAGTGACGTCATTTTTAAGCTATCTGAGCCTCTATTAGCCAGTGGTGGGACAGACCCTGTCTCACGAAAAACAATAAGTAAATATCTGCGAGTTTTAATAATAGTTGCTCGCAACTTTGCGTGAAATTAAAAATAATTAAAATGTACTGTGCCTATGTAACTTAGAATAGGCAATATAACTTAGAATAGACGATGGGGTTCTGTGAAAGTTTACGAAAAATCCATTCCCTGTGAATGCGGTCTGTTATAAATACAACATTCAATAAAACATTATAAATTTGAATGCTAAATATTTTTTTCTATTTTTCCTTTCATACCAGATCTTGTATTAATTTTTTGCAGAAGTTTTGAAAAAATTACGCGTTTAAGGGTTAAAAATGTATAGAAAGTAGGTTAAATTGGTTTTTTTTTCCAGGATGAAGCTCGATTAAAGACGACAGTGATGAGCGCGACGCCTGTCGACTATAAAGACGCGAACACACGACTTGTTAAAAGTATCAAAGCTCTGAGCGGAGTCGAAGTATAACTTCTATATGTTCGTGTTGTCCATTTAATATTATGTTCCAATTATTACTGTTTTTGATGTAAGCTAAACATGGAAGTATATTCACTAATTATGTTCTAAATTTATTGTAATTAAAAATTCTTTTTTTTAATATTATTGTTTTATTTCAACCAGATTTGTGAATCTTTTTTAAAGTAATCTGAAACCTAAAATTCTTAATACCAACATTGGTAAAAAAGAAAAATGTATATTTATGTATGTATTGAAATAACTCGATAACTAATGGTCCGATTTAAATTATTTCACCATTAAAAAGCTACTTTATTAAGGAGTAACATAGGGGTTTTATACTTTTTTTAAAATTTCAATCGTGCGAAGTCGCGAGCAACAGCTAGTACTTAATAATTGCATTTGAACAGGTACAGAAATTAAACATTTTAATCACTAATACTTTTATTCAATTTTATTGATATGACTCATAATTTGGCTACAAAATGGACAATTTCATACAACGGTTAGTGAAAATAGCAGATAAAATAGCCTCGTTACATTTACACGCATTACATTGACCAACAAATACGAACATTTTTATTAAAAAGTAAATTTCCAACTCAATTACACGTTATATTTTTTAAAGATAATGAAAAGCATTGGTATATTATAAAAAAGTGGTTTTTACATGCTGGCTGTATGTTATGGTGTATCAACGGATTAATAAAAAATATTAAAACACCAGTAATCGATTACATTTTACCAAGCATTTCAAATACAGACAAAATCGTCAAAAAAATGCAACCAGAAAATATAAAAACATGTATTTGATTATTTATCGGCCATTACAATTTTATTTCAATTTCTCTTAACCGTAATAAATTAGTTTCAAAGAACAAACATGATTCAGAAATATATTTTTAAACTATTACAATTGTCAAAGAATTTACAAATGTAGAGTGCACGAAAGTAACTACACTATCCAGTGTAATACGGGGTGACAGCTATTCAAAATTTACACTTACAATTATTATTATAACGAGAATATAATTTAAAAATCGGATAAAATACAATTAAAACTTGATCATTTTATACATGGCAGTGTGATATACTGAAGTTACAACACGTGTGTTACTCTTCATACATAAAAAATACATGTTAAAATCCAGTTTGAAACATCTGTGCGAGAATTTTCATATGACAACCTTAAAAACTATTACACAGCAATCACAAAATCTCAATTCTATTCATAATACATTCAAAGACCTTAATAAATAACGTAAAATAGTTCGACAAACTTTTCTGACCCAACTGGCAACTAATAAGTTAATTTAGTTTCCCTTATTATATCCATTGGATTACGTTTTGACACATTGACACTTTTTTGACCGACTTCCCAAATAGGTATTCAATTTCTGTATGTTTTTCTTTCAATAACTGATGGCGCTACTGAGCTTATAATTAGCTAATAGCCACCAGGCCGTACATTGATCTTTATTGATAGATAGGTCATTGTCATTAAATGGCTTAAAATTTTGTGCCACTTATAGCCTCGGGGTCAGACACTGACATCTATAAATGGATAGGTATTTGCTTGGAAATGAGTTTATCTTCGGTCCGACTTACATGCCTGTTGATTATTGATTACTGATAATTCTAAATTATCAAGCGCTAAAAAATAGTGAATACCAAATAGGCACAAAATAACATATATAACATTTATAGCCTGTCCATATATAAAGATCAGCGGGTCTAAGTTTGTCGGAAGTTGTAGTGATCGGCCGAGTCCGGTGGCGGCGGCGAACGTCGTCTACATGAGCCTCGCCGCGGCCGGGCTCACCTTCTGCATGCATTTACAAATAAACCTTACATATTGAACAAAGATTTAAATAACTATGTGATTTTTTCTCTATAGAAATAAAATAATTATAGTTTGACAATTGATTGTAATAAAAAAAATATGTTCTGAAGACAACATAGATTATAGCACAAAAAAATAATCTTTGAAATCAAAACGATTATCTGCATCGTAGTTCAGCTAATTAACAGTCGTTTCAAAACAACGAGTGAATAAGACAAGCACAAATGACATCGTTATGAAATCAAAATGTATTTTTAACCACATTTTGGCTTGTAGACTATCTATATTGTATAATATGTAACTTTTTCTACGAGATTTCGTTTAAGTCGTTATACCGGAAAAAATGTCAGTAAACCATTTCGTATTTAAATCTTTGTCAAAAAAAACTTATCAATATCCGTAATACTCAATAAATAAGGTCACTACAAAAATAAACTATACATTACGCTAATTACTGACTTTATAAATAATAGGCGTATCGTTTTGAGATATAGTAGAGGCCTACATTGTCGGAGTATAGCATTATACATAATACATTAAATAGCTACATAATTATCACATAAGAATACATGTAGTTTATAAAGTATGGAATTAAAGCCGCAACCAACGTATGAGAATACACGGCTGTGAGTCACACATACATACAACTTACATACAACCGAGAACATTGAATTGTTTATAGATACAGCTGCGAGAGGCAGATGTTACAAAATATTCATATCGTTAATCAATTACACATTTAATCATTAAATATAATAAGAAAATATTGTGTTTATCCAACAATTCAATTTTCAATTCCCCAAAGAAGCTTTTTTATAATAATAATGGAATGAGATTCTAGAACATGTCTGAAGGAGAAGCAACGAATACATACATTTACGTAAAGGACATATAAATACACAGTACTTGATGTACCGCGGGATTAGAGGTAACTTTACATACACTTAGTACTACGTCAGTAGTCATAGCCACTCGTCACTACACTAGTCGTGACACTCGGGTCCAGTCAGAACAAACGCGAATGTATCGCAGAGCGAGAGGTCGCCTGCCCGCCTCCGCCGCCGCGCCGCGCCGCCCGCCGCCCCCCACACGCCCCACACACGCCCCGCACGCCCCACACACCCCACACGCCCCGCGCTCAACACAACCCAACTTAACATACTGATAAATTAAAAGCGAATAAATAAAAACGCTCTTTGGATCACGTCCGAGGTGCGCCCTGCGCCCGCTGACCTGCCGAAACCTAACTCAATCGCTCCTAAAATTAACCTTAAAGCAAAACGTTAAAACATATACTAATGACAGATGTTAACGAATCTTGATCTTCGAATATGATACGAATCATCCGTCCTTAGCTACATAAAGTAAATCAGACTTAATCATTATCAGTCAAAAAACCTATAAATCCAAATAATTAATTTAAAGTTAAAAAAAGAAGAAAATAGTGATTTTATAACTTTGGAGCGTAACAAAAGATTTTAATTTTGATACGAGCATACGAAAACAAAATAACGAAATAATCAAAACGACAAAAAAAATGTAAAGCTCCATCTATCTGCGCCGACACCGCGCACCCACCGACACATTGTATAGCAAATATTAATATAGAAATCACAAGAATGCAATATAACCTCAAAATGATCTTTGTTCTTAACGAGACGTCAACAGCAACATTTTGTAAAGTTCTATAAAATCTTATCGAAATAGTCAAATGTATTAAGTTTTTGAATCCTATAACAATTGACGATAATTGACTTTTTCTCCAAAGTTAAAACGTATATTTCACAAATGCAATGTCGTCGGTGCGTGTTACGGTGGGCGTTAGTGCTGTGTGCGCGTCACACCCAGCGCGCTAGGGGCCGCTGGGGCCGCTGGGGCCGCTGGGGCTGGGGCCGGGGGGACGTGGGGAGGCCGAGGGGCCGGGGGAGCGCGGCGCGCGGAGGGCCGCTAGCGCGCTCACGGCACCAGGTCGGGCAGGCGCCCGCGGCCCTAGGGGCGCGCGCCGCCCTCCGCGCTCACCACCTGCGAACAACGCGCGCCTTAGCCCAACACTACCTGGACTACCGCACTACCCGCACACTGGGCCTCTCCTCACTCCTATATTGTACAAATAGTGTACATTGGGAAATTTATTTAAAACTTATATCTTTCGTACTTTTCAATGATATATTTTAAAAAATATCAGATTCAAATTCTTCATTGAAAGCTGATATTCCATGACTTAATTCCTCTGAGTTTTAATAAAACAGGATCATAATTCATTAAAATTATTTATATAAATATAAAACATTTTAGATAATCATGCATATAAAGCAACCGGTAGTCAGTCTCTACTAAATATTGAAATGTGTTCATGCTGCAACTTTGCTATGCAATAAAGTAAATCAAAATTATGCATTAAAAAAACGAATAGTTAAATGAAGTTACCTAATCAGTTGATTGTAAAAGAGCATGCTCGGGATGAACATAAAAAAATATGGTGTTTTTGAATTGCCTCAAAACATGTATAAGAACATTATTGTATTCCCTATATTTACTAAAGAGTGAAAGGGATGTCTATCTAGTAAAACATGAGTATACAATATCTAGTAACGATAATGTGAACACAAAGAACACAAACTGTGATTTCTCCTAATGATATTTCTGAACATAAGCTGGCAAAAGAATATCAAGCAAACAAGAATAATAAAAAGCATGCTTTTCCCAAAGCTAGATTCATACAAAAATTTAAAATGTTTTTGTATGAATGTTTCTGCAATGAAAACCGGCACAAATGTTTCTCACACACAATTCAAACTAGTGCAACAATTTTGTAAATCAAACAAAAGAAAATTCAATACTTCAAAACTACATTTAACATCAAATAAAAAACAGTTCACACAACCAGAACTGTATTCATGCTAATCCTATAAATCATAATTTTTACAGTAAAAAAAATAATTCTAATGCACCTAAATTACCTGGCCCGGTGTTTTAAAGTGAATTATCATTGGACAATGTTACTTTCTATCAACTCCACTAACTGTACAAAAATGTTTTGGATCAATAAGGATTTTTTTTTACACATTTAAGAAAGACATTTAAGAAATATATAGACTAGGCATAGAGGACAAAATTTTTCACCGGTAATTTCTCTGACAGGTAATATATTCGTTGTCAAGTTTAGTGCCACCTTGTATCTTTGTATTGACATTTTATTAAATTACAATAAGCTCCAACTTTTATTATAAAATAAACTAAACGGTATCACAAAATAAAACAAACATCTAAGGGGTCCCACCACTGGCTGATATAGACTCAGATAGCTTAAAAATGACGTCACTGTTAGAAAAGGTAACAAAACCTGATATTTCCATCACATATTTTACACGTTGCATTGTTATCAGACAATTTACAATCTAGTGGGACAGGCCTTAAACATTTGTAATGACACTTATTGACAATAAAATAATATTAATTATATTGACATGTGAGTTCGATGCTGTCAAAAGCGTTCGTGATGATTATGAAAAAAATATGACGTGAAGTGTCAACTATTCTTAGTGTATATATTTTTTGAATCTCTGCGTTTTTTTATTCTATTAGGCAATTTGACACTAAAGCCAGATAATTCAGTAGTACATGTGGTACCGGGTCAATAATACAAGACGTACTATATCAACGTGTCGTATGTGTTGTTGGTACTCACTTTTCGTTCCTTATAGTAGAGTTCCTCGCTCTCCTTGTCGCAGAGCAGCAGCACCACCGCGCCGAACAGGAAGATGGCCGCGCCCCACCCCACGCCGTACGCCCAGCCGAACTCCCACACCGATCTGTTACCTATACCGCATACAAACTAAGGGTAACCATTGAAACACTATACGAAGAGCCTGTCCCACTGCTAACTGATAGCTTATAAATGACGCCCCTGTCAGATAAGGTAACAAAATCCGATACTTCATCACATATTTTACACGTTGGATTGATAGAAAATTAACAATTTGGTGAGACCGGCCTTAAGACTTATCAATAACTAATATAATAAACTCTAACATTGACCGATTTAAAAAATCTTGCATTATAAAAAAGCCATGCTTTCACTGAGTAATATAGGCTTTTTTTTTAATTTAACAAGGACAAAATCACGAGCAACAGCTAGTCTATACTAATATTATAAAGAGGAAAGTTTTGTATATTTGTATGTTTTGAAATAATTCGAAAACTACAGAACCGATTTCAATAATTCTTCCACTATATGGCTGTATTTTTTACAATATTTAATTCTACGCGGACAAAGTCGGGAGCAATAACTAATTTTCTAATAACAGTATCTTACCCAGATTCAATTCCGCCGCAAAGCATACAGGGTAAATCACCAGCGCAATCAAGATGCACATCACTGAAAACATAAAAAATGACCCTTTTATTCTCATTCGACCTCAGAGGTCCGTTTTAGGAAAAACCTGAACCTTAACTTAGGCAAAATGCTTTAACATCTATACTTATACTATGAAGAGGTGAGATTTTATTTTGTTATGTATTAAAATAACTCAAAAACTACTGGGTCGATTTTAAAAATTCTTTAACCATTAGAAAGCTAATTTATCTATGACAACAAAGGCTACATTTCTTATTATTTTTCATTTTCACGGGGACGAAGACGCGAGCAACAGTTAGTATATTAACATACATGCGAGTGCCATAGCGAGTACAGCGAATCGGTAATATCTGAACTTGGTGCGATGGTCTGCGGAGCGCAGGCCGAGCCCGGTGAGCAGCGCGCCGCACACGTCCGCCGCCAGCGTCGCCACGCACAGCCCCGCCGCCGCCCTACACACAACACATAAATACATTCGACTACAAAATATATATCACGTCACAACTTTAACTATGAAGTTCAGACTTTAATAATAGTTATTCAATCCTTAGTGTACGTTAATCTACGCTAATGAGATCTCTAATGACTTGTCTAATGCTAATAGAAATTTTAAAAAGCTAAATACAGTTTTCCCTTAAAATCTAGGTCGAGGCTCCTTCGAGAATTTCCATTTAATTCCGTTGCTACTGAATTTCAGGCTATCCGCATCCACTTGAAAAATTGAAACTAAATGTTAGGAATTATCGTTGAAAGTATTTATGCTAACTTGAGAAAAGTTCAAAATTACGTAGAACCAGGATATTAGAATTATTTAGTACTTAAAATTATTTTTAGAGGTAATTTAAAAAAACTTGTGTAAATACAATATTGTACACAATACCCGCAAATTTGCGTTAAAGCTCGAAAATTCCAAAATATTTTTTTTTAAAATAACAATGGGTCTTACTTAATGTATGATGCGGGTCTAGCTGCATAACATCCTGGCTGGGCGACTATGTCGAAGGGCAGCGGCGTGGGCGCGTCCGGGTCGATACAGTGCATGAAGAGGCCTTGCCGCCAGCCCGCTGCCATCAGCCAGTCTGCGGACGCTAGCCCCAGCACCATCAGCACCACAACTAGCAGCCCGCAGATTAACGCGATCACCTGCAAACATATTGACATACGGTAAGAATTGAACAAATGTATTAAACTTTGTTAGACTGTGGCTGTGCGTTATCACGCTTTTCAAATATCTTAGAGGCCTAAGGTCATACCTTCGTATTAGTCTTTTTTCTAAAAGAGGGTAATTTCATTTAAAATATCCAGAACGTTATAAATTACTCGTGTTATACTTGACCCCGGAAGGTCAAATCCATTATTTTAATATTAGACTCTTCTCCAAAAAGCTACTAATTACTACTTAAAATAGAAGAATAAATTTACTGGCCGGATTCTAAATAAACGGGATCATTAAAAATTCAAAGCCCTTAGCTGTAGGAACGTAGAAATGGTTGACCCGGTTAAATCCGAGCCGTGCCTTCGAGCGAAGTAGGACAAAACAATTGATTACTGGAAAAACAAAAAAATAGAACATATCATGTCATAAATGACAATACACAAGTCAAATTTTTCGCTATACAAAAGTTTCCAAACAACTAAGAATTGGGTCAACTTCCCGAAGTCCGTGTTCTCCGAATATGACACTTGGAGAAGTCTACAAAACGATATAGACTTTTTAAAAATTCCATATCAGATTTCAAACAATACATATTGAATATCTCACACAATGAAATAAAAATACATTTACTCTCACCTGCACGTTAAAAAATGCCTTTGTCTTTGTTACGTGTATAAAAAAGTTAAACACTTGCGTTGAACAACAGAAGTAGATAAAAATCTAGTCATTAGACACTAATAACACTTAACATATTAAATCACATCTTAAAGTGTCGGAAGAAATTTGACTACAATTTCAATTAGGGTAAAAACTCTCACCCCATTACACATAAATTGTTATGAAGACTTATTCAAAATTCTAATTTCAACATCCGACGTTACATTTAACAATCTACATTGTAGCTCCCTCACGAACCTTAATAAAACCGTACAAAATTACTGGGGAACGGAGAGAAAGTAGGTTAAAGAATTTTTAAAAAATTATCCCAAAGTTACTATTTAATAAAAAAAAGTGAGTCAGGTTATCTAAAGTAAAATTATTATAGCTAGCTAGTTATGATATTATTTAGGCAACATTACAAAAACCTGAATTTCCCATCTTATAATTGTCACTAGCTCACTATATGTTTCCACTGAGGGGCTCGGAGCCTACTCTGAGTAAGGGGTGACTAGACCATAGACAACCTCGCTGGCCCACTGCGGGTTGGTTGACTTCACACATATCTTTGAATTTCTTCGCCGATATATGCAGGTTTCATCGCGAGAACTTCTTCCTTCACCGTAAGAACGTCGAGTAAATTATGTACCTATACATATGAAATCCAAAAATCATCTTAACACATGGCGGGATTCGAACCCAGGACCTGTAGATTACAAATCAAGTACTCAAAACTTTTAGCCACCGGCGATCTCGATCAGTTCCCATCTCATAAACACTCATTATCAGTAAATCCTACGCTGTTCCGCGACCTCGTAGTAAAAAATATCAGTAAGTAGCCTATCATATGTGTTTTAAGTTCTATATCTGAGCTAAATTTCATCGAGATCCGTTAAGCCGTTTTAAAGATACGCAGTAACAAACATTTATCCATCCAAACTTTCGCATGTGTAATAATAGTATGTAGTATATAGTTAAATTAAAATGTAGTTAAGTAACATGTTTTTACGCGCATAAAGTTGATTGGAGTTGAAATCGATATTGTAAGCGTATACATAATCTCGGTCAGGTTACGAGACCGTGGCGTATTTAAGCGATACTGCGAGTAATAATTACTGTTAGATTAGTTTGGTCTTAGCGTTAAGTGACAATAATAAAATAACATTGTGACTCTTAATCAAGATTTTTTAGAAGTTTACTGAATAGTACGCCGACTCTACTTGTTGATCAACATTAGATTTATACAAACACTAGCTTTCGCCTGCCACTCTGTTCCAGACTATCCTCTGCATCCATAACAAATTTCATTGAAATCCGTTCTGCCGTTTAGGCTACAAACTCTAACAAACATCCATCCATCCATCTAAACTTTCGCATTTATAATATTAATGTATGAAGTATGGTTTGTGTATTCAATGTACTTATTCCAAGCCGGGTTAAATATTTGTAAAGAACTTTTCTTTGTCAAGAAAATATTTGAAATTGAGTCCTGTCTCTGATAAAATGTTCCATAAATAGTAATGCATTTTATCAGTCACGTAATACATTGCTCAAGACGGACTGCACCAAACTGATAATACCAATACAAACGGTAATGCAATGAATATGGCCGAAGCTATCCTCTATCAAATACAGTGACCTCACGTACAAAACGTTTGCATTGCGATTGCATTTAATCTCAAGGGACATTGATAACGATAGCCAGACACAATGATAAATAAATTGCTTAGATAGTACCTCGTATTATTTATTTTTAGGTAAATTGCAAAAATGTATCAATTCTACATTAATTTCATGTCTTAATTTGAGATACATCACGACTTTCGTTTTATTTTCTTCTTATTCTTTAATGAGCATTTATTACAATAGATGACACTGTTTTAGCTATAAACAATTGCATATAACTTCGTTTATAAATCATAATAAAAATGGTAAAAGTATTTTGAAATTTAAATCACATTTGTTGTTGCGCGCTGTTCTGCAAATCTATTTCCAGCGTGACTTTTCCATTATAGTTGGGAGTAAAAAGTTAGTTCGCGTAGTTGACAAAGAACGTCACAAGACAAAGGAGGAAAATGTTCCCACGTCGCTCCGTCAGCCTGAGGCTCCGTACTCGTATTATGACTCGCTGGAGTAAAACTAGGCATCGCGACACAATGATCGTACAACATGTACTTGTCAGCCTTTATTAAACCACGATTACGGTCTGGCAAACTTATGTCACACTGTTACTAGTCATTATACTATAACATCTTTAGAATGACTTTAAAAGACTTAAAATGCGGATATTCCAAATATTTAAGGCCTGTCCCACCACTGATGAGGTTCAGATAGTAAAAATTACGTCACTATTAGATAAGGTAGCAGTATCTGATATTTCCATCACATATTTTACACGTTGGATTGTTAACTGACAATTTACTATTTGGAGGGACTGGCCCTTAAACTCATGCGACGAAATTAGAAATGAAAATTAACCTAGACCTAAATCGAATGTTGTCACAAGTAACATTTACTCGTATATGAGTATTCTTTCTTACCTTATCTGTATGTATGTCTATAAATAAAAGGCAAGGTCTTTCTTGACCTCAGGTATTTGTATGTGTGCGTAAGACGGTGTCTCATTGAGGTTTAAGTGCTAACCGTGAAAAACAATCTAGGTCACGGGCATCCTTACATTTTTCTTATCCATGTTTAATGTTTCTACTAGCTTTTACTTCCTAAATCTTACACAACACATGCTCGGTAGTATAGCCTGTTCAGATATTTAAAAGAAGGTTAATGAACCTCATTAGCGTAACATACGTGGACTTACATATTTCATTGCATTGTCTTGTAAAACAAGTCTTGAACAATAGCCTCGCCGGTGTAAGTCTTACAATGATGTACACTATTGAAAGGCACCCTACAACTTGAGTAACAATCAAAGGTAAGTGTAAGTGTTGGGGGCCGGAGTGCCGGGGGGTACAGACGTGAAAGTGAGGCGGGCGTCTCGAGGGGTGTCACGGGGGTGTCGGCGCGTGTCGTCTACATCGATCGCCCGGCTCGCCGTCAGCTGTTACGAATCTGATCACTATCTCGGCTGATTTTTTCATCTGTTGACCAATACTAACTGTTTACGACTTAATGAAAATACCTTCTTTACACTTCTATAAACGTAACGTGTGTACTTTGTTATTTGCTTTATTAATGGTATGGGATGTGCCTAAAATCTTAGGTCATGTGACAAGTATTTAGCTTACTATCATAATATGTTTAGGTGCTTAAGTTTTCAATATTTGTTTAATATTTCTAAGAAAATAAATATAGCATTAAAGTGTCGTACATCGAATCAACTTTTGTTGATTCACGATTGGCCACGTTTCCGTGCGTTCTGTTAACAGCGGAAGTTGGAGCGCATTAAAGAGGGATTTCATTCATCAAATCATAAAGCTTGATTCACGTGGGAAGTCACGGGCAACCACTTCGACGTATGAAGGGTCACGACACCGTGAACATATTTTATTGCTTGATTTCTTTGCATTGACGTCAAGATAGTTTCTCTATATTTTACGTATACATTTGTTCATTTGAAAGTATGAATTTCAACTGTTGTTTATAGATTCCTTTTATAATATAGTCACATTTTTGGGTTTCAAAACATAAACATAGGTGAACCTAATCTGTAAATGTATGATATAATTCTTATAAATTTTCAACAAACTCAGTAAAGGACAAGTATCCTAAATGTCTTAAGTAAATACTATTGCAATCTGATAATTCTTAAAGAAACACCGTCTGCAGGCGATGGGGCGAAGGGGCGATAGTGCGGAGACAGACTAATAATAAAATACGCGACAGACGCATCGATCCAAGGTCCCCGACTGAACAAACTTCAAATCTCACAATTTACCGACTTTACAATCTCCGTAAGATATCCAGTTTGAAGATGGAATTATGTTTAAGGCTGGCCGTCTCAATAAAAATATCGCATTAGTAAAATCCCTTAAAGTTTTCAAAAAGCCAAAAGAGTTTAAACATTATTGTTGATTAGGATTTTAAAAAGTCGTGTTCTATCAATATTACCAGCTTAATTATAACATCAATTCCTAAGTAGTCTAATGTTATTTGTAATGGTTTATTATATTTAGTTTAGACATTGACTTAGGTTCAAGGTGGTTGAAAGTACTAAATCATGGAGCAGAGCAAGTTCATAATCAGCTGTCAAACGTAACTGAATCAACGTGTACTTCGATAAATCAGCCGAAAATTAGCTGTGAGATTTAGAGATATCTTTACAAATATTTTCACCGCATAGGTCGATTTGTTCATAACAGTAACTCCAGAAGTA